AGGAGAAGGACTTGGTGGGGACTGCGGGGGGAGTATGGGAAGGGATAGGAAGGGGAAACAAAGGAGGAGGTTACAATGCTTGATAAGAAATGTACTCATTATCTTGCCCATGTAATTGTAACCCCTCTGTACAGTGTTTTCACAATAAATTAGATAAAAAATTTGCTTAATTACTTCATATTTTAGTAAAACCTAATTGAATTTTATGTGTTCTACATAAACCTGTCAGACTCTTGAGTGGAAAATTATATAATCATGTTATATTCCAGGAAATTTGCATATAGTTTATAATACTGTTTATTAAATAATGCTTTTGTACATATCTATAATTCATATATATACATACATGAAGCCACAGACATTCCTCTATATCTTTTATGATTGTATTTTACAATATATCGTAACGTTAATATTTTTATCAGTACAAAACAACTTCTGGAAAGTTGTTTTTCTCTTGCTCTTTATTTATTTAATATTTGCAACCACTTGCTTTGAGAAATCCTAGACTATATTAATCTTACTTTACATTATATTAATCAAAAATGTGAATTAAAAGATCTATACAAAGATCAAGTATGTCAATAAGGAAAGCGAAGTTACATTTTGGATAGGAGGTGAATAACTTCTAGAAATGTCTTTGTTAAACTCTTTCCTAATCTAAATATTGATGAGTAAGAACATTAAACAGTGAATAAAGATTGAATTATTTGGTCTATTAAGACCATATCAAATGTCTTGCTGTCTAAGAACAACTTAAAAAAATCAGTAGTTGACAATATGAAAAATGTGAGATATCCATTCACATTATTCCTTACTGAAGAGTTGCATATTTTTAATCTACTGAATTGTAGTCCAGCAATGCATACTAAAAGGAAGTGAGACTTTGTCTTCTTGTTTCATCTCGGAAGTCAGCATTTTCATTGTCCCATGCTGAAGTTTGGCTGAGTTTCCTCAGTTTGTAAAACAGAAGTGACGTTTATGGGCGACATCACAATAACGGTGGCACCACTGAGAGAAGACACTATAGAGAAGAGCTGCTGCTGTGGAAAACCTACTAATAGGACCTGGTCCATTGTGGGGAGGAGGAGATCCTGGTCCTGTTTGATGAATCCAGTTAACTAACAGAGACAAGTGACAGTCCCTTGTGCTCTTTTCCTTCTTCGAAGTCTTATTCATTTAAATTATCTTTGGCTCCTGTATGTGACTGGGACATTTCTTGGTATCTACCCCTGACATCCTAAGATGTAATTCTTACCATGTTCTTCAGGTAGGCAGTATTGTTCCATGGGGAAAGAATGAAATTCTTTACTTCCTCAGACTTGAGGAAATAAATAATTAGTTCCATTCTGGCGAAATTGAAATTCACTTCTATTCCCTTCAATATTATGTGGGTCAAAGAAATCATATGTTTAATGTCTCCTGGCTCTGCTTAATGGACATTAGACATTCATTCTACTACTGAAATATACTACCTATTGAACCACAGCCGTAAAGTCAAACATTTACTCTTATGTGTCTCCATGATTCCTTTTCTTTGTGATACATATCTTCTCAAAACATATCGATAAGAATGGTGAATCCTCCTTCCAATGACTGTATATTTTCAATAGGCATAGGAAATTTGTAAAGGGAAGTTCAGCATTTCTTAATTTGGACATCCATAATTTAGCAAACCTTTTCCAAATTCGTTCAATATTTGCCACGATGCATCATGCTCTAGTTGTTTTTTATGAAGAAACAAATGCCTGAAAAATATTCAATTTGTTGAGTTCCAAAGTTAGACGTTGCTATTGGTCTCTGAAAGTGACTCTAATCTGTGATGTAGAGAGACATCAAGTTTTTTATTGCACATGTTCTTTGCAAAGCAAGTATTAGAGATGAATAGTTTCTACTGGGTTGTTTTTCATACCACTGAGAAAATCACAAGGTTTAAGACATGCGATTTTTATTTATATAGTCATGATTTCTCTCAAAGAATTTTTCTGTCTGCAGGACCTGGGGATAGTCACCTATATGTCACAATGGAAGGAGGTAAACACGATTATTCGTTTGTTTGGGAAATTAATTTACATAGTCGAGTTTACTTTATCTATTTTTTCATTTTTTTGAATCATAACAGATACATTGACAGGAGCAGAGAGAAAAGGATAGTAAGACTTCTCCTGATGGACTCTGAAAGTTTAGACATAATGTTAATTATAACTTTCATTTTTGATATGCTAGATTGAAAGTTTTAAAACCAAGTAAATTATAGCCACTTTCTACATTGACATGAAAGGAAGAAATTAATCAGGGGCCCGCAATGTATATGTGCTCTCAGAAGATAACACAAACTAACAGTTACATTTGACTCAAATCAATAATTATTTAACTAGAAGTAATAGTTTTCAAAATACTAAAAAGTAAGAACTACCTAATAGAAACTGAGAATAGATCAGAAGTTTTATTCCAGATTAATAGTCATGGTTTGAATCTACATTGTCCAAAGGATTCGTGACTTAAGATATAGTTCATTAGGAAATAACACTGAAAGTTAGTATTTTTTCCCAACATATGGATTTTTCCTGAGGTATTTTTCAGTTTCAGAGGAATCTGTGGATCCTGAGAGCTTATTGCAATGTCCCTATGTTAAATATCACAAAATCAGATCATGCAGGATACCATACCATCTAGAGAAATGTATCAAGTTGGTATTAAATAACGTTTTTATTTCATATATAACTTTGCATATTATTTTAAGATAAATTATAGGAATTGTATGTGAAAGATATGAAAGAGTGTGGGCAGAAATGTCATGGAGAGCATTTTATATTTCCTGAAATCTCTGCAGCATGTAATATAAAGTAAGACAATGGAAGTCTAACGTGTGTATCTCTAGAGTTTTATTTCTAGAATTCTATTCAAAGCAAAATATAGGCAAGATGTTAAGTTTGGGCAATTATATGAAATTGTGTGTGCCATATTTCACAAATATTACAGGTGGTGCCTTTTCTTCCCCATTGCCTAATGGCAATGCCTAATGTTAAATTATTTTGTTAAGACACACACTGTATTATTGTATATCCTAGAATTCAGTTTGGATACCTCAGTTTTCATAAACTGATAACATTGAAGATGCTTTGTGTCTCTTTTGTATATTTTGTTTGTTGATTACCCTCTTCTTAGTTTGAAAAAAATCACAATATTTGAAAGTAGACAGAATTGTTAGTAGTAAATTATATATTTTCTTAAAGTAGCAATGCTACAGGAAGTTCCAAAGCTGTATGGGATGGGCAAAAGAGTTTCTGGAGGTGTGTTTTGTAAAGAAGACACATGTGATGACCCATCATTTTGGATATTTTCAAATATTGTTTCAATTCCCATTTCTATACTTTTAAAAATTCAATATAAGTAATCCCATGTTGAGTAAACATAGGCCAAAATTAAGTACATGAGTGCCTTACTAAAGTTTGTTATAAAATTTTATGGAGAATGTTAGTGGTTCCTCATGAATGAATTCATGTCAAACTGAGAGTTTGAAATCTCTGTTTCACTTTTTGATGCCAGTCCAGGCAGGGAATCACAGAGACTCTTAGCTTCACTATCAAATTAGAACAGAGAGGAGGTGCTATAGCTAAAATTGCAGAAGTCTAGTGCTGTGCAAAATGATGCAATAGCACAGCATGCAAACCGTGGTGAAAAGTCCTTCAGTAGGCATCCTGCCCAAAGTAATTTAAAAATATAAATTTGAAAAAAAATTCATATTTGAAATTTTGTTACACAGAATCATCCTGATATTGCTTCCAAATTTGCCACATGTCCCTTCAATGCTTGCCACTTAGTTCCAAATAGACCAACTCAGTAAACATATCACAACTTGTATGGACAAAACTTCCCTTGAAGATGATATGGGCAAGCCTGATACTGAAATACAATCCAAATAAATATAGACCAGTATCACTGGAATTGTATTCTGATGGAAGATTTCTGTTTGCTTATAGTGAACATCAATTGGAACCAGAGAGAAGACAAGTTCTGAAAACGCATGATAATATATGTTTCCTCTGAGGAAGACTGTGATAAAGGTAAAGACTGGGTTTGTCTGCATTTTCTGGGATTGAATCTCAACTTATCTCGTGCTGATGTATGATTTCTTCCTTTAGGAGTGAAATTAAGACTCTTTCTTGAACTTGGATTGTGTTGTATTCTAATATCAATAACATATATGAATATATGCAGCCCTAAATGAGTAAAAACCATGTCAAACATCTAAATGTTTTCTTTTTTTGCACAATGGCTAAGAATCCTTTTTTTTCAATGTTTATTACCCACTTCCATGTTTCTTGTAAGGCTCTTAAATTCTTGAAGCTTGTTAGTATTCTTTATTAATGTACAGTTTTTAAGACCATCTAATGTAGCACGTCAACCAAGTATGTGTTTCCCCTTTGGCAGAATCGTTGTAGCATCCTAGCCCAAGATTTGTTTGGGGCACAATCAAATCCTGTGGCAACAACAGGTAAAGAAAATGTTGTTTTCTTATGATGAACTTTTGTCTCTCAAAATTGAAAGTAAAGAAATATATAAATGAATAACAATCTTTCTGTTCTTTATACCCGTATAATTTGCTCGCTATATATGAAGTTTGGATTGTTCTCTGACCTGGTGAATCTTAGATTGGTGGAAATAGTCAAGTAGAGTTTCCGTAGACCAATAATATATGCAATCACAAAAATTACTTCAAAGTATAATTCCTCATGTGAATGTTCTTCTCATTCTCTTATGATCAACTTAAATCAGAGAATACATAATTAATAGTTTTGGGTAGACCAATCCTTTTATTTCCATTTTCATGGTTTCAGGATTTACTTGTCTCATCAGTTATGATAGTGGAAATGGGAGTATCTTCTACTAATACTGGATAAATGCATGCACTTCTTCATTCTGAATTTGATGAATTAATATTGTAGGAATAACTCCCTTGTTTGAATTGTCTCCCTGCCTTATTCTAAAAGTATTTGAGGAGATCGATCTAAGATGGCGACTGTGGAACCGGAAACCACTCCTACTCCTAACCCCCCACCTACAGAAGAGGAGAAAACAGAATCTAATCAGGAGGTTGCTAACCCAGAACACTATATTAAACATCCTCTACAAAACAGATGGGCGCTGTGGTTTTTTAAAAATGATAAAAGCAAAACTTGGCAAGCAAACCTTCGACTGATCTCCAAGTTTGATACTGTTGAAGACTTTTGGGCTCTATACAACCATATCCAGTTGTCTAGTAATTTAATGCCTGGATGTGACTACTCACTTTTTAAGGATGGTATTGAGCCTATGTGGGAAGATGAGAAAAATAAACGGGGAGGACGATGGCTAATTACATTGAACAAACAGCAGAGACGAAGTGACCTGGATCGCTTTTGGCTAGAGACACTGCTGTGCCTTATTGGAGAATCTTTCGACGACTACAGTGATGATGTATGTGGAGCTGTTGTTAACGTTAGAGCTAAAGGCGATAAGATAGCAATATGGACTACTGAATGTGAAAACAGAGAGGCTGTTACACACATAGGGAGGGTATACAAGGAAAGGTTAGGACTTCCTCCAAAGATAGTGATTGGTTATCAGTCCCATGCAGACACAGCTACTAAGAGCGGCTCCACCACTAAAAATAGGTTTGTTGTTTAAGAAGACACCTTCTGAGTGTTCTCATAGGAGACTGCGTCAAGCAATCGAGATTGGGAGCTGAACCAAAGCCTCATCAAAGCAGAGTGGACTGCATTTAAATTTGATTCCATCTAAATGTTACTAAGATATAAGAGAAGTCTCATTCGCCTTTGTCTTGTACTTCTGTGTTCATTTTTTTTTTAACTTTTGCTAGAGTGTCCACTATACAAATCAAAGAATTACAGTACATGTCATCCCCAGAATCTATAAATGTGTTCCTGGCTCACTCTGTAAAAGCCTAGTAGAATTACCATTACAAACACATTTGCCCATCCACAATATTCGAAAAGAACTTGAGTTTCTATAACTTAATAGGAAAAAAAAAATCTGTTCCATTTTATGCAGGAGCATATTTTGCTGGTTTGAAAGAATATGATGCATACAGTTTTCTAGCAATTTTCTTTGTTTCTTTTTACAGCAGTATCTTTGCTGTACTCTTGCTGATGGCTGCTAGATTTTAATTTATTTGTTTCCCTACATGATAACATTAGTGATTCTGATTTCAGTTTTTCATTTGTTTTGCTTTTGTTTTTTCCTCATGTAACATTGGTGAAGGATCCAGGAATATGACACAAAGGTGGAATAAACATTAATTTTGTGCATTCTTTGGTAACTTTTTTGTTTTTTGTAACTACAAAGCTTTGCTTCAAGTTTATGCATTTTATTCAAATCAGTGATCTATGTTTATGTGATTTCCTAAACATAATTGTGGATTATAAAAAATGTAACATCATAATTACATTCCTAACTAGAATTAGAATGTCTGTTTTTGTACCTTTATGCTGTATTTTAACACTTTGTATTACTTAGGTTATTTTGCTTTGGTTAAAAATGGCTCAAGTAGAGAAGCGGTCCCATTCTTATTAAGACAGTGTACAAAACTGTAAATAAAATGTGTACAGTCAATTGTCTTTTAGACAAGTAGATTTGTCCTTTTATTTCTACATCTCTATAGAAGGAATTTGTACTTGTTATTGCAAGGCAGTCTCTATTGTGTCTTCTCTTGTGTCTTCCATATGAACAGCATAAGTTTGGAGCACTAGTTTATTATGTTTATTACAATTTTAATAAATTGCATAGGTAGTATCATATATATGGAATTAAACTGATGTGGCTATCTTTTTTTTAAATCAAGTTAAGGCACATCCTCCCATCCTACGTAAATAATGTACTTTCAGTATGTTAAAATTCATGAGAATTGGGATTTTGGTGCATCACCATTTGATAGGAACCGTGGTTGTCCAACTTGGTTGCTGAATTAAGATGTTCTTACATTACATAAGGGTCAGAATGCTAGCATAGAAAATAAAGTACAGGTGGTGGGGGCATATGCATTGAGAATTTTATTAGTGTTGCTATCTAAATAGAATGTAATAAAAGAGTATTAACACATAAAAAAAAAAGTATTTGAGGAGATCCTTGACATGAATTACACTTTACATTTTGGGAAGATATATATTAATGAAATGTATTTTCTGCTATATTTTAACCAGCAATACATAAATATTTTTGAAATTTCACATTCCTGTAAAAAGTATGAAAACCCATTATATATGGTATAAATAGCAAAATGAAAATAAGATATGTAAACTACAAAAGTTATTGTATCCCTTAGTGTTTATGAGACTTTTGATAGAATTGTATGACCTTGTCCTTCTATCATCACAAAATAAATTGTACTATTTATTATATGTAATGGGAAAACACCAAGACTCTTACTGTCATTGTAAGGTGTCAAATAAGAGAACAAATGAACAGCAATTGGCCTTGCTTGGAATTGTTCCTAAGCCTTTATTCCATTTGGAATCATGTAATTTGTATTGCTTGGTAATATGGGACTTCTTCCCTTTTATAAGTGAGACAGTGTATTATAGATGTTGAATATTGTCAAGTATTTTCCTCACTGATCAGTCCCGACAAAATATGCTCATTTAACAAAAACCCCAGTTGTATTTACTTGAGCCTCTCTTCACAGTGCAACCTCATATATTTTCCTGTGAAAAGGTAGTAAGCATATTCAGAATTTCCATTGTTTGCTGTAGGTCCAACATATTACAATGTTATATGGTGGATGTATTTGAGTTTACATAGTGAAGACAGTCTGATGATAATTTTCTAATTCCTGAAGACTATAGAGAGGAATAAAACTCAAACTGCTTTCCAACTGAACAGTATTTCATCAACAGAATACATTTATTCTTGTGGTTAGGGAGTTTCTCCTCCTCTGTCATGCAGAGGAAAATGAATATATCATAATAATTTTGAATGTTGAAAAGCATACTTGATCCAGGCCGGGTGATAATGTTGTGAATTTTAGCATATCACAAGTTTCACAGATGAGGATCTCATTACAGATTAATAAAGTCAAAGATTTTTCTCACATTCATTTCTGGAATTAATCCCATCAAAATCGAATAGCATACAGCAGTATCTTTAATGAAATTCATGGTTACTTAGACACCTGAAGTGTATGAATGTCAGGAACAAAACAGCAGAAAAATTGTCAATACACTTTGGATAACAGAAAAGAATCTTGGTACATGTCTCTTAGGAACTTGTCAGAGGTGAGATCTGAGGAAAAGGTTCAAGGCAACCAAACTGCAACCATTGTCACAGTCTCTTCACCAATTAACCTAGTCAAAATGAGAAGAAGCAGTGTTGATCAAGTGGTAGGGCATTAGAGCTCTGAAATGTGCAGAGACTGTGTCTAAGCCCAGAGTTCAAGCCCAATGATCAAAAATAATAGCCAAAGACAGGGATTTAATGCAACATTCATCAATAATGCCCCATACACACGGCTATTTCCAAACCTCTGAACTATATTCATCGACATAATAGCCAGTTAGATTTTATTCACCCGTAACTTGTACTATCTTGCATATCCTCTTTGAAATTCAGAGAGTAATGTTTGATGGGGCAGTGATATTTCCATAACTTCATCGGTTATTAGAATACTTAATGTGATTCCATGGTATTACTTATCCTTTTCTTTTATGCTATTATGACTTAGTTATAGAATCAAAATTTTTCTGGCTTCTACATGTAGACAGTAGCAGAGAACCTGTGAATTGTTGACAGAAACTGTGACAAAGTAGGATACCAGGTTACTTGCTGATTTGGCTCTTAAAATTCATCCAACCCTATCTTTCTCCTTTTGTGTGTGTGTGAGAGAGAGAGAGTGAAAGATATATATATATATATATATATAGAAAGAGGGAGATAGAGAGAGAGCAGAATTGTGTGTGTGATAAAATAATTCTCTAGATGCAAATTTTGTCTGTGTGTGTACAAAGTAAAATGGTGTTACAATTTTTCCCTACACAGTTTCAACACACCAAAGATGAATCAGGGCATATTACTATGATTTTTGGAATATAAACTTAAGGAGATTTTTTGCCTGCCTTCAATTCTTGATTTTACTCAATCATAAGAAATATAAATTACAGGTCTTGCTTGATATTGAGGATTGGATGCTTGATTGGATCATTGATTCTCTTACCCTGCGCTCAATCCTAGACATTTTTCCAAATGTTTTTGTGTCTCTGGCATAGAATTCTCGTAACCATTTATATTTGAGAAATTTTTTAGTGGCAATTTTCAATGTTCATTTCAAGTCCAATATTTCGGTGTTCTTACTGACAGGTGACATGCATCTGTTTCTAAAATTTTAGTTATTTCTCCAGAATACTGAATACATTTAGCAGCAAAACCACTTCACAATGTGACTATCACTACAAAATGGCATTTGTTTTATGTACACAAAAAACTGTAAAAGCAATTTATTTGTTTGAGCTATGGTACAGATCCTTTGGTTGTACATGAAGGTATTTGCATTTTATACCTTCATATTTTACTTGCTTACAACAAAGTATGTGTCCTTTGGTAGGTTACATCTCATGAAATAATTACTTTGTGCTTTGTTTTTATGCATCCCTTCACAAATTTTGAAATGGAGATCAAATTATCCTGTTGATTTAATTTCATTGCAATAACGTTTTATAATAATTCCTCTATAGATTTTATTTCTGTACAAGTACACGACCTATTTCATCTGATTTTCCAGAATTCATGGTATATCCATGAATATTTTATGAGACATATTTCAGAACCTGTTCCCATACATAGCTAAGACTGACTGGGTGAAATTAGATTATTATTTGAAGAACTACACCATAATTGTTAAAGCAGTAGACTGACTAGGGTCACATTTCAAATGTTCAATGAACTTTAAATGTGTTAATAGCATGTGCAAGCATAATTTGTGGAAAGTGTGTATGCAATGATCAAGTTTGAATGGAAATGGAAGTGGAAGCAAGCATGAATTTTTTTTAAAATAACTGATGATGTGCTTTTGTTACTTTTTGCAAATCTCTTGAAATACTGATGAAATTTCTTATTCATATGCAGAATACAGAAAAAAATATTTAGGTCTTTTCCACAGAAATAAAATAATATTTTTTCTCTTATTTCTTTGCAGGAATCATTCAGTAAACAAACCCTGAGTTCAAATCATTTTTCATTGTTGTAGTTACATCTAACCTTTATAAATATACTGTGACACTGTCATTTTTATTTCTACTACCTTTTTACCTTACCTTGAATCCAGAAGTAAACCCAGATGTTTATGTCTTCATTGGAATTCACCATGTCACTTTCCAGATAGACATGGTAAGGTTGGAGTATGGAAACTTCTGTCATCACATCAACATCTACATTTGTTTCCCTTCTGGGAAAAAACATCATACATCTGTTTTTACTGTCCTTTAGTTTGCCTGTGAATATCATCTTCCTTTACAAATATTGTTATTATTTATTGCCTTATAAATACATAACAAAACTTCAGCGATATTAGAATTCTTATGTAAATCCTACATCAACTACATATTCCATACACAATGGTCTTGAAAATTTCAAAAGAATTTTGCAACCAATATTCTGATATATATTTCTTTCTATATAAGTCGTATCCATGTCAATGATTTACATGTGAATTCTCATCTGAAGAAATTATGAGAGTTTTTCCCAAAACCTGTGGCAGAGCAAAACCAAGTTCTTATCTCTGTACACAATATAACATTTCAAACGAATTCTTTTGAGAAGGGAAAATACAGTTTTTGGAAATAGCATAATTTTGTGCCTAATTATAATTACTTTGTAGATCGCATTGACGATAAGATTGAAATAGGATATTGATACTAACATTTATTTTAAATTTCATATGTTTAATTTATTACAGTGTAATCTATATAAAGACGTGTTTATAGACATGTTCTCTGCATATCCTTACTATACTACATTTTGAAGAAAGGTTTTCTACTGCCTCATATTCACCCCGTTTTAGATCTAATTTAAAATACATGAATTTCTGATTTCCTATTTTTAAGCAAACTGTCATTAAAAATAACTGCACTGCTCTTGTGCACCATTCAAACAAGAGAAAAGCACAGACACAAGTAAGTAATAATCAGTAGGATCTTTTTATATGTGAATCCAAATTGTACAAAATCCAACAAGTTTTCAATTTTATTGAAAAATATCACAGTCTTCAGGAAATCTAAAAGGGACAAGTTAGAACATGCTAATCTGGAAGCAAGTGACCACTCTTATTGAGATACCTCTCCAGCGTGTAAAGGTTCCTGCTCTGCTTGGTGTGTACTGTACTTTTACAAACATCCAAAAGGCTCAATTAATTTTCAGTCTTCTATCATTACTCGTTTATGTTTTTTTGTATCCTCAATTTAACCTCGGTTTCTCTAAAGTTGGTGGTGTGGCGTCCCACAAATTCAGTTTCCTATACTATTTCATATATTTTACTGTAACCAAGCCAGAACTCACTTAAAATGTTTTCTACCTGTGGAACTACAGTTGAAATTCTGAAAGTGATGCTGAATATTCCCTCACTTCTCCCACACTTATACTTTAAATCTTTTGTAAGAAACATTTAACAGAAGTCATTCTTCTTGCTGTTAATCAAGTTCCAAATCTGTGGTATAATTTGGGTAAATAACATGATACTGTTAAAGGCACCTTCATAGATGTACTGATCCACAGTGGTTGATTTGAGAATTTGGGGGGATAATCTTCAGTTGTTTAATGCTTTCATGT